CATGATAGCTTTAAGAAACCTCTGACCCTTTGCTCTAACCCTTTAACTTCACCTTTTATTTATCAGATCATCTTTCCCACCTCAAATATCTTGGTTTGGAAAAAAAAAATTACCACAATCATTGTCGAACGTAGCAAGTAAACATTGATAAAATAATATACTTATGTACTAATTTATAATTAGGCACCTCTTTCTCTTTATTTTGTCGACGTTGTTTTCGACCTTAATTGAATCTCGGATAAATAACAGTCCGACATATTATTAAATAAAAACGCATCCGTATTTGTTCTTTGCTTCTATGACTTAGACGCAAACCATTTATTATGGTCATGTGAAATTGGTTTCATTTAGAACACTGTTTCTTAAATAAGAGACATTCGGCTCCCATTCAACTGAAACGGAGGCGGGTAATTCTAACAAGGGAAAGTTAATTGCAGTCATATATTTAGGACACGACGTTAGGCGATTACGGCTCTCCACAGATATCTTTTTCTTAACTCTCTCTGAACTGTGTTGATTGTGGTGGGATTTCCTATCGCTTTTTCTACGATTTCGAATTTAGTTTTCATTGTCTTAGACTGATTTCACTTTTCTAATCAACTATTTAATCCATAGCAGGGTGGTGTAATTTTAGTCATAGTTAGGCGAGATTTTATGTTTTTTAATGCCATATCCCTTCAGGGATAGGCGATCATGGCTTTTCAGTATTTTTTTTTCTTTATTATCTGTGACCTGTCAAGCATTCTTAGGAAAGATAGGGGAGTAGTTTTTATTGCTCTCTCTATGGTCGAGAATGAATTCAGTGTTTTCTTTTCTTACAATGGTTTCCTAGTTCTGCCCCACTATTTGACCCATAGCCAGGTCAGGTAAGTTTGGTCATAGGTTAGATTTGGTGGGTGCATTTCTTAATGCCATGTCTCTTCAAAATGTAAACGATCATGGCTTTACTCAGCTTCCAATTTTTTTTATTATTTGGGAATTATCATGCATACTCGAGAAAGATAGAAGCATGAAAATTCGATTTATTATAGTTGGGAAATGCAAAGTCGGCCTTGGCCTTCCCTCTAACTTGGAGCTTGTGCATGTAAATTTTGGTCCAAATCCGTCGAAAATTACTGCCGTGCATTCGTCACACACACACACACACACACACACACACACACACACACACACACACACACACACACACACACACACACATCCTGCCTTTTATAGATAGAGATAACTTGAGAAAGATAGTGGCAATTATTTTGGATAGCCTTCTCAAGCGTTTGGAATTCACAGATTTTCTTCTTTGTAAGGAATCAGTTTGCAGAAGATCAGGGTTCATTGACATATTTTTTGTAAAGAGGGTTTTTGTCGAGAGTCAAATGTATTGCTAGTAATATATTTTTTTCCAAAATGCATTGCTGTGTTTTTTTTATGCTTTCATAGTGTTTTGATCTTAGTCTGGGGATTAACTATCTGTCCATACCTGGGGCCCTAACAGGTGCTACCACCCTAGATCAGGGTGGACTTTGGAACAACAGCAATTAAGTGGTGGCTCCATATTCCTCAAAAACCTCCCAATCAGAGTCTTTGCTGCCGGATTTAGTTTATCATCATACCCAGGAGGGTTTTTCTATTGCTGGAATATTTTCACTATTATAATCTACTAGCAGCATGGCCCGATGTTGCCCGTGCTTGATTCAAAAATCGTACGACTCATACAGCAATCGCTATCACTTGACTTAAAATATTTTTGCCCTTCCTGGCCTTTAAAGGGATGCCCTTTGCCGTGCTGATGTTGCTACATGCCTTACTTCTTGCCTATCTCACACTGCGAATTTTTTCTAAGCTCTATACTAAACATTAAATCTGTTACGAAAAAGAACTAAAAAAATGAACACAAAATGATCAACTTTAAAAAGGACTCGTAACTGAAAAAAACCGAATGAAAAAAGAATGTTAACAACAAATACTTTTTCACACCCAACCCAGTTCTGCAGAATCAGAATCAACGTTGAGATTAAGCAAGCGAATGAGCCAATTGGAGTAAAGCGCCATGCAGATTTAAATTTTTCACACTTGTGACGAATGCATCTATCAATTTTTTTGCATGATAGCATGCTAGTTAACATTCATGTCAGTCAGCTGTTGGCTCTCGCGCTGGCGAATAGAATCTTCCTACATATTCGTGGCAGCCAGCTATAGGCTCTTACTCTGGCCAGTAGGAAATGGTTGCAAACTACATGAAAACTGCCTTAGAAACATGAAAAAATCGATTATTTCCACTATCGATGGGAGTTGGGAAATGCAAAGTCAGTCTTGGCCTTCCTGCTAACTTGGAACATGTGCATGTAAATGTTGGTGCAAATCCGTCAAAAATTGCGGCCGTGCAATCGTTACACAAGGCCACACACACACACACACACACACACACACACACACACACATCCTGCCTTTTATAGATAAAGATAGCTGGGATTTTTTTTACCGTAAAAATGTATTTTTATACTTT